GGATGGAGACGCAAGCGGGAAGCGAGGGGAGAAGCCGGGTTGGCAATCGCTGGTGCAAGGACTCGATCGCACCCTTGTGAAATGTCACATGGATGCTGGTTCGCTGACGGCCTCCACAGCTGCCGCTGGAGTTTCACATGGCACATGCCTTCCCTTTGCTTTCATTCCTCTCCACCTCTCCACGTGTCTTGTGCATTCCTTTCCTCCAGCGCTGAGACTTGCTCCCAGTGGGAGTGAGGCTGTTTGTTGTTGTTGTTTTAAAAACCCTTGCACAGGACGCTCCCATTTCTTAAAGGAAGAATTCCATCTTTTTGCTTGGGCAAAAGGCATTTCAGGTTTGGGAACAATATCCGTGCTAAGAAAGAAGCTGTGGAGCCAAAATGCTTCAAGGGAAAGGTTAAGCATATGGCAAAATGAACCATTTCCCCATTCCGTAATGTTCGCAGGCTGCTCAGGTGTGCAACACACGATCTGTCCTAGTGCTCTCCCTGAAGTCTCAACTGTGATCCATTTTGGTACTATATCTGTCACTGAAAACTCTCAGCAGCATCTTAATCACTTGTGTCTACTTATTTTCTCCCTCTCCCCTGGAGGATGGGCTTAGCATTAGTGACTAGCCCAAAGTGATCCAGTGACCTTCATGGCGGAATGGGGATTTGAACCTCGGTCCTCATCTCTGACCATTACACTGTACTGCTCAATGCAATTTCATAGAGTGACCCCCTCCCCCCGCAATTCTCTCTTCCCAGGTTACTGATAAAGTCCAAGGACCCTCAGTGTCTTGTATTCTGACAAGCCTACATACTGTATATTTAATCAAAAGTACATCTCCCTGTATTCCGTGGGCCTTATTCCTTTGCATAGAATCACAGGACTCATACCTAAAAATCAGTAATCATTCCTCCATGGTTGTTTGGGGATCAACTGGCCCTCTCGCCTGCCCTTCTTCTTTCTTTCTTTCCCTCTTTTCCTTTTGGCAATGCAGCATATTAGGAACTCCAGGAGGAGAAAGACTCTCCACATGCTCACAGTGTCTCTGTTTTTCCTGCCAAGCCTGTCTCAAACGTCCACATTTATATTACAAGTACGATTTTGCTGCTGCTTCAGCTGGCATCTAGATCTCTTTCTTGGGCAGATGAATGGTTTTCTATGTTCCTCTTAGCTTTTAATACCTCACGGGCTGAGAAATTGATTGCAATGCTATTTAGCTGCCTTTCTTATCCTGTTTGCAATTTGCTGCAGTAGTCATCAGTAATGATAGCTTCATCAGAAGGCACCTTCTTTGCCAGGCGTAATTTATTCTCTTTTAGAGAGATCCCGTTTTCCCAACACTCAAATCACATTATTTTTTTTATGGGAACAGTGTGATACTTTCTCCAAGTAGCCTACACACTGTGGTTCAGGTTGCGATCTGAGATCCAGTTCTGTGAGTAGCAAAGGCACTTATTGACCCCAGCTTGTGGCGTTATTGAACAGAAGTGACAAGAAGACCCTCATCTTGATCTGCTCCAGAAGCTGGAGAGGCAGAGAAAGACTCCACACTTTGGACAGAGAGCCCTTTAAACATACCTCCCCAACTCCCTAAATTTCATCATCCAGCATTGCCCTTTATAGGACCATTAAATCGAGTGTGTGCCTGACACTAGAGTGTAGATAACAGCTATATTATTATTATTTCCCCTGGTTTAAACTCACTGTGCCTATCTGCACAACACTTGAGGAGATCAAACAGCTGCCCACTTACCACACCCTTTTCCCACTTTAGGCAGAGTCCAAGCTTAAAGCAGGAAAAAAAAAACTCTTTTGCAAACTGAACTGTACTTATTGGGCTTTTTCTATGATCAAGGTGGCGTTAGTTCTGCTGGTGGTTTCCTCTCACAAGAGTATTCCAAGGCCTTGAAGTTTTCCTGGCCTGCAGTGTATCGTTTGTGTAACCGATGTATATATAAAAAGCAGAGAGAGGTGAACGCCAGCCTATTTCTTCTCTGTACACATATCTGTGGTACTGTATATAGAAAGATAACCATTGCAATTCCTTGATCAGGAGCTTCTCCTTAAAGAAAAGGTGTCACGGAGACACATTTCGACTGCCTGAATGGAAAAGCCTTCCCCACTTTGCTCCTTCTGAGGTGGATGCAACATCCGGTGTTGACACACTACCACGGCACTATGAAGTCAAAGTCTTTCCGAGTGCTTTTAGTTATGAGGCACATTCGTGAAGACTTGCAAGGATCCCTTTGCAGGATCTGGTTCTCAGGAAAAGCTCACTGGATGGGAGTGCAGTAAAACCTAAGGTAGCTCCTCTGATTTACAAGGGCTGAATAATCTGAGCCCTCCAGAAGCCTGTCACGTTAGGTGCTTTTAAAATGCCTCGGGTGAAAACGGAAACTGAGGAATGCTCTGGGTGTGCTCTCTGTGCAGGAGGGGGATTTTGTGTCCTGCTAGATGTTGTTTTAGTGCTGCTTCCATTCTTCGGACTGGTGCTGCCTAAAGCCTGTGGAAGTTGCAAAGCCATACCTGGACTAAGACACCTGAATCTTTCTTGGTTTAACCTTTCCCTAAAGAGTTTTTAAAATATGACCATGATTTTAATTTAGTTTTATTTTTGTTTGTTGGCATTAATACTAATTAACCCATATGCAGCTTATTTTTCTGCCACCAGACTGACATACTATATTACAGACACCAGTATTATGGCTGCAAGGTGACTGTTCTCTCTTCTTTGCTCTCCTTGGTGCTTTTAAACCTCTGGACGGTATGCCTGGCATCATGTTCTGCCAGGGTCTCCCTCTCTAGTGACCGTAAGCCAAAGCCTGGAAGGCCGAACTTTCTGGACTACAGCTCCCAGAATCCTCTGCCAGCTTGGCCACTCTAGTCTCAAAAATTAGCTTTTCCAAGCTGTGCTATGAACAGGGACACTTCTAATCCCTATTTCTGTGTTGGGGTTTCCATCTCAATAAGAACGTTCAATATCTGGCTGGTGGCCCTCCTTGCAACAGTTATTGAGTCTTTAAGTTGCCGTATGAATGGAATCTCTGGGTTGTTTTTGTGCCCAGTTGGGACACCCTCTGCTGTCGTCTTTCTCACCAAAGGAAACAAGGGCCAGCGCTCGGTCAAGCTTCTGATGTGTGCAAAGTCGAACCGTCACAGCAACACAGGATCACACCCCTTGCCTAAGTGATGCTACGGGACGTGGGTCTGATCTGCATGAAGAAAAATCCACCCTCCACTTGCTCTATGGCCATGATTGTGCATGAGGTGTGATCCTGTGTCACTGTGCTGGCCCGAGTCTCCACTCCAAGGCAGCTGTATAAGCTACCAGCTTAAGGGGGGCTTGTTTGTACCGTTTAACAAATCCTGCGAGAGAGAGTCTGTCTTGCACTCTGTTGCCTTCATGCAGCAGTTTAGGTTATCTGGAAGCACGAGGGGCTGAGATACCCAAAATGCCAGCTCTTCTAGTTCCAATGGGAGCTGCTCCCCAGTTACCTTCCTTTTGCTCCAATGGATGCTTCTGTGAAGTCTGTGTGTTCCATGAGTGTGCGCGCGTGGATTCCTGCATGCATTCCTGCTTCTGTGGCATGAGTATGAAGGAGGGTGTGGGAAAGGGGGAGGGAAGCAAGCTGGGCTGTGGAAGAAGGAGGAAGGAAGGAGTCAGGGGGAGGATAGTGGGGGTGGAGGTGGTAAAGAGGGAGGCAGGGAGGGGACAAAGTCCATAATCAGTCAAGTGGATCTGGAAGCTTCTATAGCCAAGGCTGGAAAGGGAGGAATGGGAAAGTGGTGGTGGTGAGGATCTCACATGAACAAGCATGAGAGACAAAAAAGGGGGGAGGAGGCTAGAACGGAATCGGCAGGGCGAGTCTCTTATCAGAAGCCGTGCTGGTGCACGCGCTGGAAGAGCTTATTAAATTTTAAAGGGATGCTGCCTGGCATGTGTGCCGGGCAGGGGTGGGGAGCTGGCAGGGTGCCCAGCCCCTCGCCAGGGCTCTTGTTTTCATTCTTCGGTGCCTTCAGCAGCATGGCCGGGACCCGTGTGGAGGACGGCTGCTGCCCGAGCGGGCTGCGGACGAGGAGGTCCGCCTGCCAGGGGTCCTTTTTTCTTTTTCTTTTCTTTGAAATGGGACGAGTCCAGGAGTTATCCTAGGGAGGAACTTGAGGCAACGTTTCTAGCAAGAGGCTGTGTGTGTGTTTGTGTGTAGAGAGAGAGAAAGAGAGAGAGAGAGAAATATTATTCTGGGTGTGTTTCGAAGGCAGGTAGATCTATTCAAGTGAAAAGTGTCCACAGCGGAGCAGCCTGGACGTGGACCGTGTGGGAAGGGAATGCCACTGAATCAGGCTCTCGAAAGGTGAGTCTGGGAGGGACAGAGAGGACGGGTCAGGCCAGAGGCTTCCTTCCTCTCTGTATCAGGCACTTGGTCATCATCCCTTCTCTGCAAAATTGCCAGAATGGGTGTTTGCTTCTTTGGGGCCCTCCTGGCTTTGGGGGCATCAGGACTTGGATCCTGCTGCAAGTACAATTGGAGGAGAACCCCTTGGAGGGCTTGCATCTCAGGCCGTGGGTGGGATCGTGTCGCCTGCAGCCTCAGTTCCTCCCCTTTCCCTCTCTGGAAACCAGTGGCTCTCGGCTGGTTGGACTTTGCCGCGTTCCAGGGCACCCACGGCCACTCCGTCGTTGTTAGGGGTGTGGAAAAGTTGATTTCTAGGAGCGGCCAGTTTATTCCGAAGCAGGCAGAAGGCAGAGTTACAGCGAAGCCCTTGTGACAGGACGTGAAACCCCCAAGCCGTTGGGACTACTTCTGCTGTGCAGTGTTCACTGTGTGATGGAGATGCCTCCCGTTGTGTGCTGTTTTTGGGAGATAGTCTTCCCTGGCGCCCAACTTCAAGGTTCTCTTTGAACGAGACCACGGGACAACCAGCCCGGGAAGGAACCTCAGACAAGCCACCAGAGTATACCCATGCCTGACACTCTTTTTCTCCACTTCTACCCTTCTTTCTCGCTTTAGGTCCCAATTAATGGATTCTGACATGGATTATGAAAGGCCAAACGTAGAAACTATCAAGTGCGTCGTGGTTGGGGACAACGCGGTGGGCAAAACCAGGCTCATTTGTGCCCGCGCATGCAATGCCACGCTGACCCAGTACCAGCTTCTGGCCACCCACGTGCCCACGGTCTGGGCCATCGATCAGTACCGTGTTTGCCAGGAGGTAAGTGGTGTCTTTCATCAGGAACCCAACAAATGCCTTCAGGTGGGGGGGGGGGGGGAGTCTCTTCCTTTGGGGGGGGTAATCCCTATTTCTGTGTTGGGGTTTCCATCTCAATAAGAACGTTCAATATCTGGCTGGTGGCCCTCCTTGCAACAGTTATTGAGTCTTTAAGTTGCCGTATGAATGGATCTCCGTGTTTTTGTGCCCAGTTGGGACACCCTCTGCTGTCGTCTTTCTCACCAAAGGAAACAAGGGCCAGCGCTCGGTCAAGCTTCTGATGTGTGCAAAGTCAAACCGTCACAGCAACACAGGATCACACCCCTTGCCTAAGTGATGCTACGGGACGTGGGTCTGATCTGCATGAAGAAAAATCCACCCTCCACTTGCTCTATGGCCATGATTGTGCATGAGGTGTGATCCTGTGTCACTGGGCTGGCCCGAGTCTCCACTCCAAGGCAGCTGTATAAGCTACCAGCTTAAGGGGGGCTTGTTTGTACCGTTTAACAAATCCTGCGAGAGAGAGTCTGTCTTGCACTCTGTTGCCTTCATGCAGCATTTTAGGTTATCTGGAAGCACGAGGGGCTGAGATACCCAAAATGCCAGCTCTTCTAGTTCCAATGGGAGCTGCTCCCCAGTTACCTTCCTTTTGCTCCAATGGATGCTTCTGTGAAGTCTGTGTGTTCCATGGGTGCGCGCGTGGATTCCTGCGTGCATTCCTGCATCTGTGGCATGAGTATGAAGGAGGGTGTGGGAAAGGGGGAGGGAAGCAAGCTGGGCTGTGGAAGAAGGAGGAAGGAAGGAGTCAGGGGGAGGATAGTGGGGGTGGAGGTGGTAAAGAGGGAGGCAGGGAGGGGACAAAGTCCATAATCAGTCAAGTGGATCTGGAAGCTTCTATAGCCAAGGCTGGAAAGGGAGGAATGGGAAAGTGGTGGTGGTGAGGATCTCACATGAACAAGCATGAGAGACAAAAAAGGGGGGAGGAGGCTAGAACGGAATCGGCAGGGCGAGGCTCTTATCAGAAGCCGTGCTGGGGCAC